AGTAAATATATTTCTTGGGGCCAGGGAGAGAACTCAGTTGAATAAGCGCTTCCTTGGCAAGTGCAAGCCTGAGTTCAATCCCTGGCTCCGAAAAAAAAAAAATCTTAAATAACTGTCAAAGCAAAGCAAAAGCCCCCAAAATACCCATTGTCCTGGGAATACCTGTAAGAAAGCAGCATTGTCTGAGGAAAACGTGTTGCTACTTACAAGAAAACCACAAAAATAAGACTATTGAAGTAAGTCTAGATTAAACATCATGGGGAAAAAGCAGTTAAAATTTGCTGCATTTCCAACTTATTAACCTACTAGGACCCTTAAACTTTGCTCCCACTAGCACACAGTACTAGATGTATAGGCTCAAGCCTACAGGTCTCTGGACTTAACTCTCCAAGGCATGGAAAAATCCTGTTTCCGATGGCGCACGGGCCTCCTACAAACACATGGGTTTCTCTGGTCCAGTTGAGTCTCAGTCTCTTTAGGAAACATGAGCAATAAGCAGGGGGTCAGACCAACTCAGTATGTGAAAGTGGCATCTGTGACACCTCCCTTCTGTCAGTTTGTGAAGAACAGAACCTGAAGCTGTCCTACAGCAGAGCTGCTGGGCACTGGGTCGGGTGTGAAGCGGTGTTCTACAAGGCCGCAGCAAGAGGACAGATGTATCTCATAGCATGTTCCACAAAGAAACTGGAAGATCTGGGTGCAAAAGGAACGTGCTCTATCCCTAAATAAAAACATCATGGGCAATGGACTCTGAATGCACATTTACGGTGTAAAAGAACTTCAATTCTACTTTCATACAGGAAAGAAATCTCAACACTTTGCGGTGGCTGAGTTTCACATTAACTAGAACTTTTGTGTGCAACCTAAACATTATCAGTATGAAAAGAAACTCACTGTGGTGTGTACACCCATCTTGCCAGTTAAGTTCTAGGGTTTTTTTTCTCTCTCTTATTCTTGGTAAAATTTTAACTGTAAACCAGGATATATATTTTTACAACATGACCCATTAGAGAATAAAGCAAAAAATTAAGAGTGACTTCAGTTTTGGCAGCCCCAATATTTTCTAAGCTCCTTGAAGACTAGCTGGATAAAAGGATCATGGGCTCCAGTCTCTTGGAGATGAATGATTAAATAAAAATGAAAACCCACACCCCCAAATATGTGGAGTATCCCCACCATTCCACACCCACCCACTAAGGTAAAAAAAAAAATATGAGTACTTTTAGTAATAATTCAGAATTTACCTTTATCTCCTACTCTCTTACAGTCATGATTTTTTAGGCATTTATACTTATGCACATAGATATATAAACTCATATTAGATGACAATTGATTTTTTAGAAGTTCAGGCAGAGAAAGAAGCAATTATTTTTACCTAAAATCTGTCTATGGTTTTTGATTTTTGTTCAGCTTGCTATGTCATTTAACCAAAAGCAAAGTTCTTCCCCTTGTCTCCATCTCAGAGTTCATTGCTTCACACATGTGGTGCATCTTCTGTTAAAAAGAAAAAGATGGAGCAGTCAGTGCAGTGACTGATCTGACAGGGTTTTCATTGGAAACTGGGGTGGCAGCAAAGGGAAGGCCGACAGACACAAAGGTAACTTAAACACTTCCATGTGCAATCGTTCTCTGGAGAAAGAGAGGAAGAGGGAAGGAGAGGGAGGGAAAAAAAGAGGGAGAGAAAAGGGAAGAAAGAAAAATTATTTTCAACAAGTAGGAGAAAAGCACTGAAAACCCATGAGTCAAGCCAGAGCCAAACCATGTTGTATCTTTTCCCCTCATTTTTCTTTCTTTATTTCTTAATAAGATCTCTCCCTGAACTATAAGCATTTTTTAAAATCCTTCCCAGACTGGGCTTCATCCTCAGACCCTTCGTCTCCAGACTTCTCGGGTTCAGGGCTTGCCACTGTCTTCTTTTCTGGAGGGCTTTCAGGTTCCTCATCT